CTAGGTAAATATAAGGTATAAGGTATTGGAGATATCGATACCGCTGACGGTATAACTTAACGTCCCTTAGGGGCTATACCCTATCTTTTATATTAACCTCTTAGAGAGAGATCCGGCCGACCCTTACCTATCTTAGGTAGTAATAGATACTAGGCTAGGGCTAGTCCAGATGATAGACGATTATAGGGTTCCTTAAAAAGAGTAGGAGGTAGAGGAGATCCTAGTAGCTAAGAATATAAGGGGGAGATGTAAGTGTCAAATGCTAGTGAAATAGATAGGATACGATACTCTAATATAGGAACCACTAGAGGAATTTAAGGATATAAAAGCTTTAGATACCTTTAAAAGACAATAGGGAGATATAATACTTTATAATAGACTAGAGTTAAATAGGATATAGTATAGATATAACTAAGTGCTATTTTAATACTATCCCTATTTCTATACCATTCTATACTATTTCGTTTTATACTACCCTATCTATTCCCCATTTCCATTTCATTATCTATACTATATTGTAGCAGATAGATATAAGTAATATATAAAAACCTATCTAAGGAGGATAGAAGAGTGGTAGACAAGGCTAACATCTAGATAGATAACGCTAGGCTTAAGCGCTAGAGTTGTTACTACCTATAGGGTTGGCGTTATACTCCTCCTGCCCCTTTATAGTCAATACTATAGGAACGCCAGCTAGGAAAGATAGGTAAGTATAACGGTCCTAAGATAGAGTAATAACTATAGTTTGATAAAGGCTAAGGGAGTACTATTAACAGTGATATAGGCTATAGGGGGTCTCTGGTAGGGCAGTAAAGCAGGGGCTAAGGGGTAACTCGATATTTATAGACCGGGAGGTAGACGACAGGGTAGGCAAGCCAAGTATATGCTAAATAAGCAAGGTGTTTATCTATATAAGCTATATAATAGTATCGTTCTACTACTATATCTGCTATAGTGTATAGTTGGTTGTCTATAGCGTCTGCTGTAGGACGGTACTAATAGCTTTAAATATTAGATCGTTAGTATAGAAGACTTACTTATAATAAGTAGGGGTAATAGGGATAGCGGTGTAGGAAGAGAAGATAATAGTATTATAATATATACTATAACCAGGTATATAGTTAACGTAAGTAGAGAGGAGATAGCCCTTAAAGGTATAGATAAGGGAGTGGTATATAGGCTTAAGGACGGTATTCTTCCAACCCTTCCTGTTTTTACCGGGCTAGAACGGCTCTACTATAGTATCTCCTCTATCGGTCTAACAACGAAGTCTCTTCAGCCTTAAATAGAGTAATAGGTTATTCGCCTATAGCTATAGATCCTATCTATAGGAGATATAGGATAAATAATATACCTTATAGGTATTACCAGAGCTACGAATGTACCTAATAAAGCAGCCCTTTATTAATCTACCGATATACTCCTCGTAGTATTTGTTCTCGTCGGTATAGAGCTTATTCTCCGAGTTATCAGAGTCCCCTTCGATAGTATAACTGCCTAAGGTACAGTTGCTACGACGGCGCTGATTGGTTAGGTCGAGTTATATACTCGGGTAGGGGAAGGTAGGGAAACTTATCTCGGAAGAACTGTTACTATTACTGCCGGCAGCAGGTGTAGTACTACCAGCGCCAGACGTGGACTTATCGTAGGCAAGGGCAGACATGATTGTAGATAGGGGAGGGGAAAGTTTTGAAAAGGGGCCTGGGAGGGCGAGATTATTGTTGTTATTGTTTTGGTAGAAGAAGTTGTAGCGGCGTGGGCGGCTGCAAGGTGGGAGAAGTTGTGATTGTTGCGTATAGAGTTAAGAAAATCTTTTGGGAACGGGGGGCACGAGGGATTGTTTTAGTTCTAGGAAGTGTAGGGCAATCGAGGCTGTTGCCTGAGGCCGTATGGCAGGAGGGCAGGAGGCCGGCAGCCCCCGGAGTTCTTTAAAACCAGGGCCCTGTATACACCATACAGAACGCAACGAGTGTTGTAGCGTAGGTCGAGCAACGAGTGTTATAGCGTAGGTCGAGCAACGAGGGTTCTGGTTATTTTTGGGGGAAGGGCGCGTTTTTGTCTTTTCCCGCGGCGGATGACAAGTTTAGATCTGGAGAGGGAGTTTTCTTTTCTAAGGGAGGGGGGTATATCAAGGGCTTAGGCCTAGGACTATGAGCAGTCGTGTTGGATTGTGGCCGATAGCCTTGGGTTGACGTAGCGGGGCTGTCCCTCTCCTGAGGCACTCGCGAGCCGGGGCTGTCCTAGACCCAGCTCGGAGGTAGAGCTCGAGGTGCCCGACCCCTAAGCGCGTACATCAGGGGGAAGAGGGACATCAGGATATAAGGAGCCATAAGCAAGGTACAACCCCAAGTAGTTCTCTTTCTGCAAGCTTTCTCAATTAACATAATAAACGCCTATCTGCATTCCGCCATAGGGCCAGTTTCTCACAATGGTATACCTCTCCTCGATATGATCGGCGTTAACGTAGCCCAACGATCTTTTTGTATTATATTTATGTTCTTAAGTGGCAAAATAGAGGAAGACTATCTCTGGGCACTTGAGCGGCTGAAGGCACTCTATAAGTAATATAATATATCTCTCCCGTCTGTTATTCTTATAGACTACTACCTTACAGTAATGAATACAGCCTTGGCCCTCTTCCCTTCGGCTGTAACGCTTATCTATATTTAATATATGAATAAGGCGGTCCTTATATAATACTAACCAGCATTTCCTAAGGCTAAAGTATAGAAGGAGTTCTATAGCTTCTGGCATTTAATTATCAACTCGCCAACTTAAGAGGCCTACGCCGAATACCTTACTGAGATATAGAAGAAGTATATTCCCCAGTATCTTAAGGAGGTTGGATATATAAAGGCAATGTAGCTTATTCTATTCAAGGAGAAGCTTGTTAAAGCTTGGGTTAACCAGTTAACTCATTTTGGCAATACAGCTACCTCACGAGTTGAAGGCATTCACGCACTCCTTAAGTCCTATTTAAAGAGGTCAACATTCGATCTTTTTAAGGCCTGGAAAGCAATCCAACTTGCTCTCCGGAACCAGCTCTCTAAGTTACAGGCATACTAGGCGAAGCAACAAACCCAAACGCCTCTTGAGCTTTCAGGTACCTTATTTGGAGCCGTTCGAGGCTAGGTATCACACGAGGCAATGAGGAAGGTAGAGGAACAACGGAAGCTGCTTATAAGGACTGACCCTCGACCCTCTGCTACTTGTACAGGTACCTTCTCTCGAGTCTATAGGCTACCATGCTTATATACGCTGGAGAGTTTACAAGGCGAGCCTCTTCTTCTTCACCACTTCCACTTGCACTGGCATTTGAAGCGTGAGGGAGCCCTGCGACTACTTCTTAAGCCTCGCCAGCTTATTAAGCCAGCTCAGGCTCGAAGCTCACTCCCACAGTCAAGTACTAAACGGGAGCCCAGTCAATTTGAAGTGGTTGAGGCCCAGGCACAGCCCTGGCGGGCACCGAGCAAGTGTACGAAGTGCTACGCAGTTGGCCATACCAGGACCTCGAGGGCATGCCCTTTGCGGTATTCAGATGTACTGTAGTTGACCAGAGTAATGGTATTGGTGATGGCATTCAGGGGTTCAGGGGCACGCAGTTCAGGGGCGCGCAGTTCGGGGGCTGGGCGTGGGGTAATATTTTGCTTATATAATCTGTTTTGCTTACATAATTGAGACGGACCCGTCTCTCTAGTGGGAGCCTGGTTCAAACTTTACTACAACAGGCCTTTACATAGGATTTCCTGTGTTCCACATAGGTACTCTGCACTACACTACACCACACTACACTACACCACACTACACTACACTAGACATACATTTGCATGCAGTTCTACTTACATATATATCCCACTGTAAACAACTCTCTTCGAGAGTGTCTAGAGGCTGGACTAATCGGTTCTCAGCGGGACTTCATCCCCCAACCAAGTGAACCATTCAAGCCACTATGTTTCTGTATTATAATTACTTGCCCGGTACCTGCTTCCCTTGACAATTCCACTCCCTGTCAAACCTGCCCGCGGGATTGTACATTCTAGTATAATACCACAGGGAGGCGTAAGTGCACAAAGATCTAAGTCAAGTTGCTGAAAGAAACCGTACAGTTGCACCAAGTTTATAATTATACGTAAGGAGAGCATTGGCTTGTCCGCTCACACTCCAGGTTTGGGAGCGACTGCATCAGCCTCCACAACCCCAATGGACAGCCAGAGCCAGATACTTTTGCTAAGTAGTAGAGTTGTGGTCTGGGGGTGTCGTCCAATTGTGTCTCCCTCGTTTTCAGCCACCCGTCCGGCGATTTCGGTAATTAATTTAGCAAGCCGTTTTCCATGCTGTGAGAGAAATGAACGACCGTCATCTCCCTCGATGGTTTGATGGAGATCAAAGATACCTGACACATCAGCTACCACGGCTCTGGCGGCTTTGGCTCTGAGATGCGGTGCAGGGTTAACCCTTGGCCGCCCCGGGCCCAGGGGCTTTTTTCATAGGCTTCCACCGGTTTTGGGGTTGAATAGAGTGCTCCAACCACCTGTGCTTCAATAACTCATTCTTGTTCACAAACCTGCGGTTGCACTCAGGCTGAGTACAAACCAACCTGGGGCCGATGTAGGTGATAGGCTGGTCCAATTGGTGAATTAAATCATCGTCGGGGTCGTTGAATTCCTCCTCTTCATCGGAACTCTCGTCGGCCCCAGCATTTGCTGGGATGATTGTCAACGATATTTCTTCAAGGTGCCGGGCCATATGTGCTTTTCCCCCGCTTGTGTGCACTTCCTGGCACAGTGGACACGTGAAGCTTTCAGACGGATTGGAAAACCCATGTTCCAGGTCGAGATGGTGGATCCATGACGCTCGAGATGGAAAAGGCACTGTGCTATATGGGCAGGTTGTGAAGACACAAATGTACGGGAGGAGATCGGAAAGTACATGCTTCCTGTTCGACCGTCAGCGCAAGACACGGGAGGCAACAGTGACAGGTGTTTGTAAGTTTGGTTTGCTCACTTCCAGAATGACTTCCAGTTGGCACCGGGTAACCTGAATTTGCGTCCGCATATGTCGCATGTAAAGGGATTCCCTTGCATTGCTTCGGGGGGTACCGGCGGGATCTTGATGGATCCTCCGTTTGTGCCGTGATAGGACATGACGGTTTCGGCATAGGAACTGGGGGTAGCCATGGAGGTTCCCAACCCAGAATCGTGGAAGTCTGACGCAACGATAGTTCCCGGCGGCATAGAAAATGACTCTGGTATGGGTGCTGCCGGCTGCTCAACTTCACCTAGGCTTTGGGGTTCGCCGAGGTTTTGGGGTTCATCCAGGTTTTGGGCTTCGCGGAGCTTTTGGGCTTCGCGGAGGTTCCTTTCCTTCTCGGCATACAATCTCTGAGCCCTGTCCCAATTTGCTTGCCCAAGAGAGTGAGCGAGCTTAGGATCCACTCTCGGATATCGATGGCGAATTCGAGACGTCAAGAGCTCAGCCGGATCCCAAGTTGTTACAAGCTTTGGACGTGCGGCCTCCTCTACAATCACTTTGTCTCGGATTGGTTCCTTGTACCGGGGGCCCAGATCCACAAGGCATTGGATATCCGTTTCAATGTCCTCAATGATCTCGTCAACCGAAATTTCTCCAGCAGGCGAAGAGCAGACGCTTTCCGAGTCGGTATTAAAATCGCTGCTGTCGGTGTCGGACTCACTACTATCGGAATAGGGGATCGCAAAGGTCGTTGTCTCGACCACAGCCCTTACCTGGGCGCTCTTATCGATCAGTCCGCGTTGTGCAGCATCTTCTAGGCCGGCGAGAAGCACACCCACGAGCTCTAGATTCAATACATTGACGTGTCAAAAGCCTGTACAGTAAGTCCCAAGTTAGCGAGAGAAAGAACATACTATCCGCGAGAGTCTGGCAGAGGCTGACTAGTAAGCGATGGGTGGAATTTCGAAGCCTTCTCGATTCGGCCAGGACCTCGTCGAGATCGCCGGCGAGCGCGCCATAGCCATCGCACCAAAGTAGGAAAAAGCCATGTTGACGCTGGAGCGCCCGAAATATCGGCTTTGATGTCTGTTTCTCGGCGCACCGGAGGATGGTCTCAAAGAGCTCAGAGGCTGCCCGGCTTAGACGTAAGGTAAACCCATCCGCCTTGGATGACGATGGTTCAGCACTCTCTTCGTCTGCTGGAGCCGACACCGAGTGCTGCCAATTCTCGATCTTGAGGCTCATTGTCGGGCATTTAATGCCGTGCGGAAATTTGTCACAACAAGGACGTTTGCATGGTCTGAGACGGAACAAGAAAGCTCTCCCGCTGCAAACAAGTGCAAAGTGTTGGTTGCCTTATTTGGAGACAAAGCGGGGAGTTGTGGCAGTGTTGGATTGTGGACGAATCGACGGCAGCTGAGGATGCATTTTGTAGCTGCAGTGTGCCTCACTCACTGCGTGCCACGTCGGGCTAGCTACGGTGGTGTTTCGAGGTCCCTGTTCAAAATCGCCCTGAAAGCTCACAATTTCGGCACACACGTGGTTGCTACATAAAATCAGGAATTACACCTAAGATCAAGGATGTAAAGATCGGCTTTATTGTTGCGGGGCTCACGATACAATGGAGGAAATTTATGGGTCTTGAAGCATTTCTGGACAGTAACCATTAATGGCCGCCGTACTACACTAGCCTCGTTGGAACTCAAATTGACGACTCTCGCCGCTGCGAGAATCTCGCTCCTCGACAATTGATTCCAGTACTTCCTCACATCATGGATCCCGTATCTCTTGGACTCGGCATAGCGCCGCTGTGTATCTCAGCACTGAAGGGGGCAAAACACACAAAATCCAAGATCAAGTTGCTCCGACACCACAGCCGGGAAATCTCCCGATTTCGCAAGAAGCTCAGAATACAGGTGTCAATTTTCCGCGACGACTCGCAGTTGCTTCTGCAGGACGCCGGCATTGACCCCGATCTCGCGGCTGAAATGTTGGAAAATGATAACCATGAAGAGTGGCAAGGACCGGCCGTCGAAAGCCGAATACAAGAGTTTCTGGGCAGGAAATATGACGAAGTGCAGCGGGTGACCGCAGACGTTTGCCAACATATCAAGGACCTGGATGCAGAACTCAGCAATCTAGAGGACACAGCTCGGTCAACCGACAGTAGCAAGGTCAGTAATCACTCGTTGTGTGTCCTTCGCTAGTGTGTGATTCAATTTGACACTCCCCGTCTAGTCCGCCGTCGCAGCTCGAAGGGCTTCCAAAGCTGTTGAGCTGGTTGTACAACATCCAATCCTTCAGGATGGCCTTGCGGCTCTTACAGACTCGGTCAGCGAGTTCAGGAGACTCAGGAAAACATCAAGGCAGCTCAAGCGGCCCCGAGTACTGGACATAAAGCAGCGAAAGGCCATGCCCCTCACGTACAGTCTCATAGCCCGACATTCGACATCGTTCTTGGAATCTCTTACTCGGAGCTGGTCGTGTCTCAACTCGAATGGGCTGCATTCTACGCATACCGCCAAGCTATTTCTAGAGAGCGAAGCCTCCGACAGCTGTGTCAACTTTAAGATGAGCTTAGAGTACGAAGCAGTATTGGGAGACGTACGGCAGCAGTAAGTCGATATTCCCTGTTTTAATTTCAAATCAACCTCTCTCACTTGTAGTACCTTGGATCACTCATGTTCCTCTAGAAGCCTACTGCTCCTCCGAATACGTTCCGAGGAACGATCCTGGGTAGACCGGGGCCTCCCGCCACCGAACATGGTCTCTTCACGCACTTTGTCTGACATTGTGGAACGGCCAGCTAAAATTCGCCGGGTCAGATTTGCCGACTCTCCGAGCGAGTCTAGTGCGACGCCGTTATCCCAGACCATGGAGACTAAGCCAGAATCTGGGGAGTGCCAAAGACGAGACCAAGCCTTCGCCTTAGCCTGCAACCTCTGCCAGGCCAAGGACGTATGCCAGCATGTATTCGAACAAGCCAAGTCTCTCCACCAGTCCAGACAGGAGGGTTGCATCGGCTACCTAGTCTCAACCGACGAGAACCTAACCCACCAACTCATGGCAGCCCAGGACAAGGAGAGCACCGTGATCCAAACGAGACCCTGCTCACCAGCCAATCTAGCCTCCATTATCCAGCCGGCCCAAGAATCTAGAATTTCCATCTGCGAACAACTGCGATTAGCCCTGCGTCTCGCGCGATCCGTGCTTCAATATCATTCAACACCCTGGTGGCGTCGGACCTGGTGTCTTTCTGATCTCTCCTATTTCGATATCGACGACGAACTCTCTGCCTCACTAGCCACGCTTCATATTGACGCCAACCTCGTCCCCAAAACAGATCACATGGAGATGCAAAGCATCCTCAACCAAATCCCCACCACAACAACACCCCTAGACGACGACGCAGATTTGCTCTGCGGTATCCGGAACCTTACATTGCACAGTCTCGGGGTGGCGTTGCTCCAGATCGGGCGGTGGGAGCATCTGGACACACAAGACATTGTCGCGATGCGCAAGGCGGCCGCAAAGCCGTCGCGGCTGGGGCCACGGTACGATGAGCTGACGGCTAAGTGTTTGTATTGTGACTTTGGGTTTGGGGCGGATCTTAACAAGCCGCAGTTGAAGGGCGCGATCTATGAGGATGTGGTGTACGAGCTGGAGCAGATGGTTGGAATGCTGGAGGTTTCGGAGAGGTTGGGTGTCATGGACGACAATACTTATGGAGGATAGGCCACGATATCTTTTTATATCTTTTTTGATTTTGTGTCTTGGGAAATTTTGAAAACGGTCTGGGGTGGGTTCAGGACCCCAAAATGATAAGTCTTATTATCTTGTTAGGTTCGAGGTGAGGACTAGCTGTTTTCAATAGTACCTCCATTATAAATGATGGATAACGTTAGTTATACTCTTTTGAAGGGCTCTTTCGGAGGTTCTAAGCAAGCCACCTACTACACTACCATGGGTGGTGCTGACTCACGATGCTACGGCCAGCCTCGCTTAGGTCGACTTTGCTTGTTAGTAATTACCTAGATAGTCTCACCCGACACTTTCTTCTGGCCGAGTCCGTATTAGTCGCAGCTCCTGAGCAAAGGGTGAGCCGCACTGAGGGCCGCCTGAGCCGAAGTGAGTCCAGAAACTTGCCTCGGCTATAGTTGCTATAACTACATTTGCAGGGATCCGGGCACACCAGGCCCTGCTTCTTTACCCACAACGTCGTGATTGATTTACGACTATAGGCTCCTTGTTCAACTTCTCAATACAACGGCTGCGCAGGCATCCTCCTACTCCTTACCTTACGGATCCACCGACGTACAAACCTTCTTAACGACATTACACACTCGAGAGTAGTTGATGTGCCACATATATGTAAAGAAGAAAAGAATATAGTTAGGTAGGTTTTAGGCGAGCTAGCATCGGTTCAAGGTACTATTCTTGGGGGCTGCAAATGGCGAGGGGGAGGCATGTACGTTTGCTGTATATCTCTCTCCTGGGGGCCTGTACCCGAATCGATCAAAAAACGAGCGACTTCAGGATGGTTATAATTGACGGCATACTGTTCGCTAATAGTCAGAGTCAATGCACCTAACACAACGTTTTGGTAGCGCTGTGAAGCAGCCAGATTGGTGGCAAGCTCATATAGAGTGGGGTTCCACCGCCCGTTGAACCGACATCAAACCATAACACCATTCCTCGCGAAAACAGTGACCTGAGTCTGGGAAGGTTCCCCTGGCAGGTATATAAGAACACCCTGGAGATATCCGGAATGATGTACGGCACCCGAAAACTCATCTATGGACCTTCGGAGGGCGAATTGGAAATAGCGAGGTGGATCGTTCCCTGCAGGAACCAGATGGGAAAATAATAGGAGATCCGGAGGGCTGGAACTGTTTGCTTCTTAGGTGGGGCTGTCCGATGTGCCAACACCAGAATGACAGACACCTAAAAGGAAGGGGAGGAAACGTGCGGGGTTTTTGAAATCCATCCATCCTTCAGTGTTAGAAGCAAAAGACAACTTTCGCCCCCAGGTTATTGTTGTAATCACCTCAATCGAACAGTGTGCTGCCGCGTAAGTTATGCCGCTCTTTGGGTAACTTGCGGCCCGGCTTCCCACCTCCTGGGTTCGGTTGTGTGCACGTTGCTTTTTTTTTTTTTTTTTTTTTTGCTGACATTCGGTGCTAGCGTTGAGGCTGTTGCGCAAACTCACAAGCATCACCTGTCTCGAACCATCATGGCGACCGTCCCCCCCAAAGTTCGCGTCGGTGTTGGCGTTTTCATTCTTGCAACGTCAAATGAGCCCGCCGATAATCCTCGCTTCCTCGTCGGCAAGCGCCTGAGAGCTCACGGCGAAGGGACCTGGGCGCTGCCGGGTGGTCATTTGGAGTTTGGCGAGTCGATCGAGGAATGCGGCGTCCGCGAAGTCGACGAGGAAACCAGCCTCAAAGTCAAGAATCCGCGATACCTCACGTGCACCAACGACATCATGCTGGCAGACAACAAGCATTACATCACCTGCTTTGTGGTGTACGAGCGTGCCAACGAGACCCAGGAAGCTCAGCTGTGCGAACCAGACAAAGGCGAGGCTTGGGAATGGTGGACTTGGTAGGAACTACTTCAACGTATCGAGGCAGCTGAGGCGGCCAAGGTTGGAGAGAGCTTGGAGAAGCCGCTCTTCATGCCGTTCTTGAACTTGACCAAACAACGGCCTGGTATTCGCCCTATTTAGTCGAGTATTTGACTAGAGCGGGGCACACGCTCTGGAAGCATCAAACTAGGTATTGGAGATGGAAATCGACGGGAGAAAAACAACGTCGAGAACTTGGTGCTGCTCTAGGTACCCAGCAAGGGCGTCCACTCGAGGAGCGCTCGAGTCGCCCTTGCTTAGTTAGGTAGCTGCCCAGATATCAATGAACAGCGGTTCTGGCCGTCCACTTGCTCCAGTCCAACCTTGAGGGCGGTGAAGATCTCGGCAACAACGGCACAGAGGATTAAGCCCACTTCACGTTTTGCGTGGCAGGTGAGTCAATGCATGTTGATACAGCTTCGAGCTATCTTCGAGCTCGGTGGTGGAATTGCCTCCTGCACCAGTCACTTTGGGTACCCAGCCAGCGTAATTTCCTCTGGGATGGGATGGAAGGTTCCCAGCGCTGAAGACATATACCCATCCGGATCACCACCGGTCCAGCGCCAACCACGAAGAAATTATTCGGAAAGATCGCTAAGCACCCCAGTCTAGCAGAATCGGTAGCCGAGACGGATTTTCTGGGAGCAGAATTCCCCACCACGCCCACTGTTCCTCCCAGCAAACGGATCGAGCTTGAGGTCGATCTCCACGAACTAACCGCCGAAGCGCCCACCAACCCCGCGCCAACAACAAACGCGGGCAGCCAGGCGCAGTACTACCCCATCGACATCATCGCCATCTACGGCCTGGACACCCCTTCCACACCTAGACGCACAAGAATGGGACGCTATGGCTGAAAGACCTGTTGCCAGTGCACCTTCCAGGTTGCCGAGTGTACACATATGGATATCTGTCCCAGGTGTTTAGCACGTCCTTCATGGAAGTGAAAGAGTACGTGCGGGCAATTTTGGACTGGATAGGATCTGAGGTGCTCTGTGGCAGGTACGGTTCTGACAGTCCTCGTTGTAGCATCTTATTTGTGTGCCATAGTCTTGGCGGGATTGTTTGCAAACAATTCGTGAGATTTACCTGCCTTACTAGTAAAAGCTTGGAAGTTGGTAGGTACCGATTTTAGTGGCATGCCAATTACCTACATAGGACCAATTCTCTCTGGACAGGGGTGGATTAAGTCTCAATAGTTCTACGACGGGACGACAAATGGCATTCTAGAGCAGCCCCAGCATTGGAGAGGTGATTCCGGATAGCTATAGGATAGGTAAGAGAAGCGTAATTCCGAAGACATGCCAGCACTTCTTTGAGTGTCAAGGCCGGTAACCTCAGCGCGCCCCTTTCTGCGAGTCGCTAATTTCCACATGATCACTTAGCGGTTTGCTCCCTCCTCCATCCCAAGCCTTTGCGCTGGATCGCTACCGCCAGTGGTATCGCCCCCAGAATGACGATTGAGAACATACCAAAACACCACCCAACACCAAGGGCACGGGCGATGGGCTCCTGAACCGCAATACCAATCCCAGCTCCAATGCAGCGAACTAGATTATAAGATGCCTGAACTGTAGCCGACGCAGCAGGGTTCAGGTCTGTCAGGAGCGTGCCGCAAAGCTGAGATTGCGCCGTGTATGTCAGCGGCTGGCCATGCCAGACTCGGAACATGAACATGGTGTGCTACCGAACTCACCGTGAATATACTTGGCGTTGTTGCACCAGTGATGAATTGCATGACGAGGGGCCCGCTGATGTGCTAATATCAAGTTCAGAATTGTCAGGCCGGGCGTTGAATTAGCGGTTTTGTCAGAGAACACTTAATTACAGTCTCTTTTTCAAGCATAACGCCGTAAGCAGCGGTGCCGACCGCACTGATGGCAATTAAGATATAAATGCCAGAGAACCTTGCCTGTTCTATGGGAAAGTTGGAGATGTCATCCCCTCTCCGGTACCTCTCGTCGCGTCCATGCCGGCGGGCGAATCGCCGCAGGTTCCAATCCAGGAACTTGCCTAGTATTATTCAAGTTTTATTCAATGTTAGCAATCAGATACCCGGATTCGTTGCTTGATGTGGAATCACTCTACCGGTACTGTACGCTGCCAGGGCTCCCCCAAAACCCGAAGGCAGGTAAACGAGTCCAGCCTGGAGATAGTCAAGGTTGTAAATCTCGATACACTGCGCCGCCAGGGAGGTTTGCAGCGTCATCTTGACTGTGTATGTGATGGATCCGATAACAATCACCACCAGATTCCCCTTCTTGAACAGCATGGGAATACACTTAAAGGGATTTGGGAAACGGCACATTCTCCGCTTCGTCATACCCGGGACATCGTCGGCGAGCTGAGCGGGCTTGGTCCTTCGATCTTCGGTGGAACGGTCGAATAGGCTCTTGTGAACCCCCCGTGTTGGAGTGCTGCCGTTCCCAACCAACTTCCGCTGCGTTTCTGGAAGAAAAAGGGCAATGAGGATAAGATAGCTGCCCGTAATAATGGCGAGGAACCAAAAGATCCAGCGCCAGCCAAGCTTTTGAGCCAAGACTCCAGCGATGACAGGGCCAAAGCTGGGTGCTGCGCCAGTACTAGAAATAAAACATGAGGTGTGATTCAATCAGGGAGACGGCGATGCTCACAAGAAGATTAACGATCCAACATAGGACCCCCGCTCGGCAACTGTGGTAATATCGGCAACAATTCCATACGCCGCGCCGTATGAGCCTGTGTTGCCATCGTTGTCAGTACGCCCGCCGCCCTTTAATAGTCCAACAATGAGCGGTGTAAAAAGCCACGCGGGAGCTTACCAGAAGCCCCGGCACTCTGAACCATCCTCAACACAAATAGTGCCGGATACGACCGTTGTAGCGCCAGCCTGATGTTGGAAGCGACAACGAGGACGAACATGAGAATATACGTTGGTCTGCGGCCGCCCTGATCCGCCAGGTCTCCCATAAACGCAGGGGCTACGCCTGCCACAACCAGGTACGAGGTGACCGTCAGGTTGATAAGCGCAACCGAGACACCGAGCTCGTCCGCCATCGGGACCAGGGCCGGGAAGTAGATGTAGCTGCTGAGCGTTGAGAACATGGCGCCGAACGATCCAAGCGAGGATATCCACTGCTTCTCGCGAGGGGTAAATATCGAAAACGGCGGGGCTGTATCGGTCGCTTCGGTGCTCTCGCTGGTATCATGGACTTGAACTTCTAGTTGCGGCGGTGGGTTAATTACATCCTCATCCTCATTTTTCAAATCCATGTTGGGTTCGTTTTCCGCTGGTACTAGTGTTGCTCTCATTTTGCCTGACCGAGCAGTCAGTTGTTGACGGCAGGATAGGAACCACCTAATTAATTATGCGCCGATGTGCTGGCCCATTCCGACCGCAATACCTATCCCACGGTGCGAAGTGCGGAGTGCGGAGCAACCACACGTGCAGCGCGGTCGGTTGGGCGACGCGACCTTGCATTACCTAAACACTGCGGGCAGGCAGGGGGTGTATATATCGATGGACATGAGGCCTGGATTCAACATCAAAGGAAGCGTCTCATACATGATACTACGCATCGTTTATATCAGTGGGCTGTTGGCATTTTGCGGCGAAGAACTTGTGTACGAGCTACATGTATGGTAGATAGCGCTCTCCTCAAGCTCAGGTCTTCAAGTGGGACGGACTTGAGGTGAGCAAGGCTGGGCTGGCGCGGGATGTATTTACCGGCTTAACTCGAGCGTAATTTCTGCGGGTAGAGCAAGAGGACGAGAGGCTTTTTGAAGGATCTGCTCCTAGTTTGATTACATACTATTCAAGCCCTATATCCGTCCTGCAAACCAACAATCCGATGCTGAGGATAATCCCAAGCCCAACATTTACAAGCGCGCCGCTTCGTCCGGCTTCGAGACGGAGGGATCAGAATCCAATTTCCCAAGAAGTAGTTTGAGTTCCTCCATCAGCTTCTCACGGAACGAACTGTTGTCCGAATACATGATGCTCAACAAGACATGGTATTTCATGGCGTATAACGCATTCCTCTCATAAAAGTCCGCGCCAGGCTCCGAGGGGGCCACAAGACTCTTGTACTCTTCCAAGGCAGGTTGCCCTAGCTTGTATCGTGGGTTGTAGCAGATGGCCAGGTCGGCTACCCGTTTTGTTAGCGAGGGTCCATCGCACGTCACGAAGGAAGTGTTAAACAAACCTTCATTGTGCCCCCAGTACGCACAGGCGTCGAATAAGCAGAGTTCACCCGTGGCCGTTCGTGGTTTAATGTTCCCCGGCCAGAGGTCAGAATGGAGAAGACTGGGGGTGACGGATCTTCCCTCGCTTTCGAGCGGTCCCAGGTATCTCGGAATGGCCTTCTCGAAATATGCGGCCCTCAGCTCTGCTAAGGTCTCGTCGGTGCCGTTGACTGATTCCTCCCGATCGAAAAGGCTCTTCATCTGTTGCGCCCAAAACGCCTCCCAGGATGAGTTCCACGAATTGTCGACTGGGACGTTGGCTAAATGAGTTGTGACGTGGAACCCAAATTGCCCAGTTGGCGATTTGCCCTTGCTGGTGAGGTGAAGTGCAGAGACGGCGGTCGCTCAGGCATTCGCTCTAGGGACTTCATCGTACATCTCCACAAACTCACACAGATAGAAATGGGTATCCGGGTCACTGGCGTAAGTTCCCCATGCGACGGGTTTGGGTACCCTGTCGGGAATGTAGTCGTAGAGGGCTTGCTCCGCTTCAAATGCCCCTTTCATCATGTTCGCCCCGGTAGGCCCAGAGGCGCCCTATTTAGGATTAACACCGGACAGATAGAATACTGGCACGGGGGGGGGGGGTTTGAAAACGTTAACGAACCTTTTTGAAGAGTTCCGTTGTGCTACCACCTTCCAGCTCGACCACAATCTTCACCGTCTTGACCCAGTGACCTGGCCCCCCCGAACCCACAGAAACCACCTTAGAGTTGGGTGGGAGTTCTGATCAGAGTAAACACGATTAGGTAATTACATGGCATTTTCGTTGGAGTTGCCCACGGCCAGCTATTGTCAGGGTGAAAAGCTTGGAGAAACCCACCAGCAACGACAGCTGCATCTAACTGTACATTATCCCCCAGGGGGTCAGCTTGCTTTGCTTTGGGGACGCCCATCCTTAAGATGCTGGGGTAACTGGGCACCAAGGATAAGGAGAAAGGTAAGACGAAGTGGAATCAACCACGAAGCAAAGCATTTGGTATGGAGGGCAAGAGGGTGGGGGGGGAATCGATGCACCTGGGAGAAGCAGTATAATACGTGGCTTATCCAACACCCAAGGGCCGAGGAACATGATATATGGGAGCTACGGGCGTCTCGTGGCGTTGGATCTTCGAGCTCAATGGCACATGCCACCCATGTGAGTGCTGATGGACGGTCAATGGCTGGCGCGGGGAGGGAACCTGTGGTTGGTTGAATTTGCGCTCCGAGTCCTGAATCCTGATTTGCGGCCTCTGCTACTCTGCAGAAGCTGCCATGCAGGAGCTCTGTTCGGTCCATGGTGCCGATTACGGACCTGACATGATTGGTGGTCTCGAATCCCCGCCAGAAAGCGAGGCTTGCCACGCAACTTTGAAGTTGAAACTTTGAACTTTACACATGATACATTCTTTTCTCCATGCCGTTGAAAGGATAAAAGTCCACGCGTTTTTGTTCAGTGGGAAAGGCGCGGCCATCCATTGAGCAATTGAAGTCAAAAAAAGGACGACATGTTTTAGTTTAGTCATGGACCATGGCAAGCATCACCGGCGGACACCCGCTTTTTCACAACAGACCTGGACTGATAGTTAGACCTTTTTAGGCGAGTATCAGCGACGACGAGCACCTCCAATTGGCGCCCCTCTACAAGAAGCCCTTTCCCCAACGCAACACGTCGCTTGCCTTCATCCAGAACAAACTCCGCCGATTGAGTGGCAGTTCTTCCGGGGGCAGTATCCTATCTACAGTCGACATCAAGGGCCCTCTCGGTTTAAACCTTCTACACGAGCCATCAGAACCTCGGATTGACTTCATATTCGTGCGTGCCGCAAGGTGTATGAACACTAGGTACCCAGCTGCGACTGACCGTTGCACAGATACACGGGCTTTTTGGGGGATCAAGAAAAACATGGAGCTATTCCCAAGAGCCGGGCATGTTTTGGCCCAAGGAGTGGTTGCCAAATGGGGTCGGATTTGGGCACGTCCGATTGCACAGCTATGGCTACAACTCAGATGGCTCGAGGAGGGAAAGCTCCCTTACAGTCCATGATTTTGCCCAGGCTTTGCTTGCCGATATCCACAACTCACCAGAGTTGCGCAAGAATGGTGATGTGCGGGTCTAGGCTAGTAGTCTCTTGTTGTTCTTCGCTGATTGGAGTGTTAGACCCCGATCGTGTTCGTTGCCCATAGTATGGGAGGGTTGGTTGTCAAAAAGGTAGGACAAGTTCGTGGTCCCCTGGTCGGAACCAACAGGAAGGCTTTGGTTCAGGTTTCGGGCCGGACTGTTGTTGTTTCCCCAATACCATACTAACATCCACAGGCCTACTTGTTAGCCGTCAACGACCCGATCTACAAAAGTGTGGGCCATCGAATTCATACCATGTACTTCCTGGGGACGCCGCACCGCGGAGCTGATTCAGTCCAAATTGCACGGATTATCCGGTATTCCGCCGGCTACAGGAACAAAGGCTACCTCGACGACCTCGTTCCTGGAAGTGGCACGCTAAATGTTGGTCTTGATGCACCCGGGCTTCGTTCCAAACGTTTACAACAAACCCGACATTACAACTAACGTTCGTTAGCAAATCAATGACGAATTCCGCCATGTCTGTAGCAATGTACGACTTTGGTCCTTCTTCGAGGGGGTGCCGACAGCTTTCGGTCCTCTGTCCGAGCCAAAGCCAACACAACAATTTTAGTTGCAATGCGGGGCTTTTGTGGGTGGCCGTCCCGGCTGCCCAACCTAGCTGTTCTACCTTGAATTGCTTTTCTTTTGCCAACTTCCCACAAAACCAACGAGCCAACAATATCAGTAAATTGACCGCAACTTTCAATTCTCCTTGTTCGACCAACCGCTCCCAACCACTATTTTTCTTTTCACGCCCATCATGGCGGCCATGCAACACGCAACGGCAAACCTCAATCTACACGCCCCGAGCAGCACCAACCTCGCTCCCATCCTCACGCTCCCGGTCGAGATCCTGATACAAATCAGCTGCAGCCTTTGCATTCACTGCCGCCATCCTCGCGTCGGCGAAATCTCCGACGACGAGGCGACCGCCGCGGTCCGCGACCAAACCGTACTCGCCAACCTCAGCGCATCCTCCAGACGCCTACGCGCCGTCGCCCAACCAGTGCTCTTCCACTTCTTCCACCCACTTGAGCGTAACTACAGCGAGGTCCTCCTTCGGCTCTCCCGCTTCGCCTGCACGCTCTACCACCGCGGTGACCTGGCCACATCGGTCCGGAGCCTGGTCTTCTGGACGCCCGAGTATTATGACCGGAAACACGACATTCGCGAAGCACAATTGACGCTTAGGAAGGTCTTCGCTGATAAACCCACCCACAAGCGCGCCGCAGCGGAGCTGGGGCCTTGGTGGGTCAGTCGTTCATATATCTCACTTGACGAGCTGCAGGAGCTCACAATTGCACTTGCGTCGGGGGTCACCTACGTGTTGCTGCAGCGCAGATTCCATGGTTTTGGAAAGACATGGGCAGACTGGCCGTGTCTGATGGAGGGCCTCCGGGACGTGGTGCTGGTCGGGTTCCGGAAATGGTGGCTGCTAGACCCGTGTGGTCACTCATTCCACATCAAGCAGGCCCGGGAGTTCCTGCGACACGCGAGGAACCTAGACAGCCTTGTGGCGGCAGATTGCGGCGCGGACGGGTGTGAGCCAGATTACCGCTTTGCCCAAGACCCAAGGCCGTGGAAGGCGGCGCCATGGGACGTCGAGTTACCGCGCCTGAGGAAACTTTCGATCAGCGGCAACGATATCGGGGCTGACGACGTCGAGGCAATCATCCGGCATAGTACGGTGTTTGAGGATCTGGAATTTTGCCAGTCGAAATGGGGACGGTATATACTTGACTTGGACAAGCACCTGGGGACCGCCAAGGAGACGCTGAAACGGCTATGTTATTCGGCTTTTCCGATGAAAAGCGGGTTGACGATACATAAGCTCGACGGCCCAGCGATATATTTTGCTGGCGAAGTGGAGGCACGTAAAGGAGACAGCTACTTTGACCCGACCGAAAATCCGCTCGAAGACTTTGAGGCCGGCTTGTCCCTCAAGGATTTCCGTGCTCTTGAAACGCTGGAGCTGGAACAGCTTATACTATACGGGCCCGTGTTTGAGAAGCCCGAGAATCTGGAGCATGACCGCAGTCGCAGTTGTGAGGCGGTAACAACGGATGACTTCCTGGACAAGTTCCCGCCATCACTAGTACGCCTTCGTATAGGCTGTATTTTTGACTGGCCGATCATCTTCCGGGATATGCTGGCCATGGCCCAAGAGCGTGCCCGTTTTCCAAACCTTCGGTCTGTCACACTTGAGGTCCACAAAATACCACCGAGGAAGGACTTTGATTGTTTGGGCGAGAGATTTCGGGAAGCGGGCATTGAATTGTCGATTTGTTCAGTGCTCAGGGACGCTTTCTCCAGGGGGTTGCTTCCAACAAGACCCGGGTTTGTGGTTTTTCTTCCCAAGCCAGTTACTTATAATTGAGTTGGGCAGGTAGCCAAGTAATTATCTGCTGGGTTGACCGGATCGTTGTTGGATGTCACTGAAAGGATTCGGGAGGGTGCGTCGCTATGAACACCATCGGCTTCCGACGCGATCTCATCTACGATTTAATGAGCGGCCGCCCACAGCATGGATGCCAACGACCAGCAGCCGATTACGCAGCGGTCCTCTTCGAATCTTACTACGCCAAGGGTTGGAGAAGGCAGTGAATCTGCGCTAACCCACCAATACACCAACCCGCACGAATACACTCTCCGGGGGGCACGTAATCAACTCAGAAATAGGGGCAAGAACCGGCGTAATGGTCGCAATCAAAACCTCGCTGCCAACCACAGACTTCAAGAACAGTGACGCCCCTCTGGGCAAATGTGAGATGACCGTCCATTATGATCATACAGATCGCAGGTCACCCCCAGATATTAACCGCCGTGCAACATGGAGGTACAACCTTCGAGATCAATAGCCAACAGGATGTCTAGGTAGTATGAAGCTGAAAAATGAAGCAAGCCCAGTCGCAAAAATACCCAGAAATATCCAACCTCATCAACTTCTCCTTGTGACCTCACCTCGTGAGAGTTTTCCAATTATTCGGCAAACTGGAATGGCTTAGAACTAACACCCAACCATATCCGAATCTCCTCCAAAGCGTCGAGGTCGTTCTGAGGCAAAGAGGTATTGACTTCCTCATCGTACCACTCGTAAGTACGACCACAGTCTTCCAGGCTCTCTCCCGCCCGCCTACAGGACTCAAAATCAATGATCACCGCCTTGTCACCGTCTAGCATTATATTGCTTGGGTTGATATCGTTGTGCACAAATCCCAAAACATGAAGGTGCTTGATACCACTCTCAACCACGGCCAACACCCCACTGTAGTCCTTGCTTCTCTTTTACTTTGATCTGAATTCACTCTTCATATGACTGCGAGGGTTGACTTCTTCCATCAGAGTGCAGTTATATCGCGGAAAACAGAGACCAGTTATTCTCCCATCGGTAACCTGGCAGCCAAGGTAGGGGGCAATGTTGGGGTGCGGATGCTGCTTGAGAAGCTCGCAGACTGTGGCTTCGAGGAGAACGGACTCTGCGATATCATTTGGTTGGGATCCTTGGCGGATTCGATCGTAGGATATAAGTTTAGGCTTTTTGATGTAGCACTTCTGTGGCGGGAGATCTGGTGCACGTGTAAAACCGGACGGGAACAGAGGGGTGTAGGCGGAGATGGGAATGGGGATAAAATTGATGAGATGTTCGAGTTTGATCTCCAAGAGGGATGAGTGGCGAGGGATCGAACGTGCGTGGTGCAAGCCATTGTGAGTGTTGTACACTACGAGAGTGCCTGTGAACTGGAAAGATCCGTCGATTTCTTCAAATGCCTCGTTCATCTCGAGTACGTCGATATGCTCAGTTGGCGGCGGCGGGTGTAGGGACAACATTGTTTCATCGGCTCTTTGCAGCCGGTCATTAATTATCGTTTGAATGGGATAAGACGTTTGTGTGATGACGCCGGTACCCTGCGCAGCCTTGAAGGCAAACAACAGCGGTGAAGGACGGTGTCAAGCTGTGTCCCCGGAGATAAGCGGGGACAGAGAATGAGTGAATTGAGAGCTCTCGATTAGAGGATAAGTGAGACTCATTGTAAGCGGCCAAGACATCCTCCAATGACAAAACGGCCAAATCCAACCACTGGACTTACTTGACGGTCTCTAGTTGGCCCAAAATAGTGCTATACAAACCGAATGCCAATGACAAGGGGCAGGCAAACAAGCGACAATATAGGATTGGGAGGGATAGTACTCGGAAGCGTTTGAACTATGAGAATCCCGCGACTGAGACAAACTCAAGTCATCTCCACGGTTCTCGCAGTTGGAACCCTGTCCTCCTCTTCTGGCTGCTTCAGATCCTCATCCATGCGGATGCTCACAAACACATCTCCAAACACCTCGCTGATCTCCTCGAGGGACTTCCCCTTAGTCTCCGGTAAGAAAAAGTACACGGCAACAATACAGGTGATGTTGGTAGCAATAAAGAAAAAGTAATACCTCCACCCCACATTCTCCAGCGCCGTCGGCGATGCCTGCGCAAGAATAACCTGAATCACAAACGACCAAAACGTCGAGATAGCACCCCCCACAGCACGGATCTGCGTGGGGAAGATCTCAGCCGTGTACACAGGCGCGCCCGAGTTCCACGACAGCGAGAAGAAAACCCCAAACAAGATCAAAAACGCAATCCCAAACCCATTAGCAACCGTGTTATCCGACCCACCATAAACAGCCACAAACGCCTGCACAATAGCAATATCCACCGTCATGGCCACGCTGCCCGCAATAAACAGCGTCCGCCGCTTCACCCGATCAATAATCCACATCAAACAAAAGATATTCGCCAGCGGACCCGTCAAGCCCCACACCCCGGCCAGCGCCAACACCAAATGCCCCTGAATCCCCAGCGACTTGTACATGAGCGTCTGGTAATAGTTAATAGCGGAGATACCGCAGATCTGCTGGCCGATTTGCACGCCACAGCCGAGGAGGAGGCGCTTGCGGTAGGAGGGTTTGCGGAGGATGCCGAGGAGGGAGATCTCTTCGTTTTCTTTCTCCCAGCGGATTTGGTCGCGCATCTGGATTAGTTCTTTTTTGACGAGGTCGGGGTCGATGTGGGATCGGCGGAGGCGCTTCATCACGGCTTCGGCTTCGTCGGCTCGGCCTTTTTCGATGAGCCAGCGCGGGGATTCGGGGAGGAGGAAGGTGCCGGTGAAGAGGAGGACGGCCCAGAAGATTTGGAGGCCGACGGGGAAGCGAAACTAATAACACGCAGGCGTGAGGGGTTAGCCACATCCACTCCTTCACTTACGAGTCCGTCATGATAGTCCGTCGAGAGGGAAAAGAAAAACGTACCGTTACCTGGCCAGTGGTATACGAGATCCCAAACCCGACCCAATTCGAAATCATATACCCAAACCCAATAAACTGCGCATGCAGCCCCACAAACAACCCGCGATGCGAAGCCGGTGAGATCTCAGACTGAAACATCGGGATCGCAAAGTAAATAACCCCAATCGCCAACCCGGTAACTAAACGACCAATGATAAGCATAATCGATTCCTGCGCGGCCGTCTGTAGCGTCGTCCCAATAGCGGCGATGACGGCGCCAATCTGGATAGTCCCACGCCGACCCCAGCGGTTCCCGATGGGCCCGGACAGCAGACATCCGATGGCACCGCCGGCTGTGTAGACGGAGATGATGCCGCCTAGGAGAGCTGGGTCTGGGTGGAATTGGTCGTTGAAGTAGTCTTGGGCTTGGGCGGTGCCGAAGATGCCGGAGTCGTAGCCCCAGAGGAGGGAGCCGACGCCGGCGAAGAAGGCTGTGAGGGTTCTTTGTTAAGTCTTTTGTTTTCATTTTCATGTGATTATAGCATTAGAGATGGAGTAAGTTAAACTAGAATCTTACCGCAGAAGTAAGCATAACCCGACGCCGCGGGCGAGATGAAAGACAACGTCATGTTGCACTGTTTTTGGTAATTGAGTATGTCCCTGTGAAGCTGTTTCCCATACTTGGCGTGACTTCTTGATTATATCCCAAGACGGCTGCTTTTGTTTGTTGCCGATCCTGAACATCCACGCGACACTACCTAGACTAACAGAGCACATGACCCCCTGGAACTTTAACATTCTTGACATTTCTGGGGATCATCGGTTCCCGTATTGGTACTGTCGTACTGGCCGCGATAATTCCTCCGATGGTTCGGGAATACCAATGGGTTGGTAACATCCCTTGCATCGCAAGCGATGCGCGCCAATCAGGTATAATGCAGCCAACGAGTACTCCCGCGCCAATTACTGGTCGTTACAAGAGTAAGCAAACACGGGAAACCATATCCAGAGGAAGCTTAGAAACATTTTTGGAGAATGGAGATCTGTAACGAGAAAGGATCTGCGGGCTGTGAGTTTCTCCAACAAGACGAGGAACTCATTCTATTTATTGAGCTTCCTAAGATTTGGTCATGTACACGTAACTCTAGTGACATTGTAAATAAATAATCCAATTACATCCTTGTTTATTCCTTGGTTTACCCCTAGTTACCAATCATCTCTTGTGCTTTAGTGAACAGCAGCAAACGCCATGAAGTTCACCCACGGCTACTGGTTCGACCGCGAGCACACCTCCATCTACAATGCCGTCGAAGTATCACACGTCACCGAGCCCCAGCCAGGTCAACTAAGAGCTGTTTGCACGACACGCCATGTCAGCAACCGCGGCGATACCCTAAACCGCCCGACCATCACGTTGAGCATCTCAGCCCCTTCATCCGGTATCATTGCCTGCTCAGCATGGCACTTCCGCGGGACCAGGACCAACGAGCCGAGGTTCACCCTTTTTCTGGAGGCCAAGGACAAAGATCTTGAAGGAAACCATGGAAATCTATCTCACCAGGAATCCTCCAACACATCAACCATAACAAGCGGCGGGATCCGCGCCGTGCTAAACAAGAACCCCTCCGCCTTCCGCATCGCGTTTGAGTCAACCGACGACAACAAAACGCTGACCGACGTGGGCTTTGCATCGCTGCAACACATCATCGGCCCTCCGAACCAGGGAATCCCCAGCCCGCTGGAGGCGTCGACTAATATTGCCGACCCGTATTACCGCGCGCCGGTGTCGAGGAGCAACAAGCCGTATATGTCCGTGTCTCTAGGCCTTGATGTGGGGGAGTATGTTTACGGGTTGGGGGAAAGGTTTGGACCGTTTGTGAAGAATGGGCAGGAAATTGATTTGTGGAATGAGGATGCGGGGACGTGCACTCCTTATAGTATGTACAGCTTGCCTGCTGCTTGCTCGGACCTGGTGGTCGAGCCGGGTTGCGTGGTAGCAATTGATGTTGGTAATAGTTCGACGGACTGACTGAGTACAGCATACAAGAACGTCCCGTTTTACATGACCAACCGCGGATACGGCATCTTCTTCGACCACTCGGACTTGCTGTCCTACGAGATTCAGAACGAAAAGCTGGCCAAGGTGCAGGTGTCGATCCAGGGCGAGGAGATCCGGTGGTTTGTGATTTATGGGCCGACACCGAAAGATGTAAGTCAAGAACTCATTTCAATTCAACCACACCCAAGCACCCCCAAACTAACAAACGGGTTTTCAGATCCTCCGTCGCTACGCCTCCCTAACAGGCCACCCCCCCCTCCCCCCAACCTGGTCCTTCGGCCTCTACCTCTCCACCTCCTTCCTCACCTCCTACGACGAAACCACCGTCACCACCCAACTCACCCGCATGTCCTCCCACTCCATTCCCGTTTCCGTCCTCCACTTCGACTGCTTCTGGATGCGCCCCCACGCCTGGACCAACTTCACCTTCGACCCCCGATTCTTCCCCGACCCCCGCGCTTTCCTCGACCGCCTCCACACCAACCACAACGTCAAAGTCTGCGTCTGGATCAACGCTTACATCGCGCAGGACTCGGAAGTCTTCGACCATGCCGCCCAAAACAACTACCTCATCCGCCGCGCATCGGATAGCTCCATCTGGCAAAGCGATATCTGGCAGGCCGGCATGGGTATCGTCGACTTCACCAACCCGGCTGCGTACGCCTGGTACCAAGCCCAGCTTGAAACCCTCCTCGATATCGGGGTGGATACATTCAAAACCGATTTCGGCGAGCGCATTCCCTGGGAAGATGTCCAGTTTCACAACGGCATGGATCCCCGCGCCGGACATAACTATTACTCGCTCCTCTACAACCGCGCCGTCTACGACACCATCGCGCGGAAACGCGGCCCCTCCCAAGCCGCCGTCTTTGCGCGCGCAGCTACCGCCGGCGGGCAAACAATGCCCGTCCACTGGGGCGGGGACTGTGAATCCACCTGGGCCGGCATGGCGCAGACGCTTCGCGGGGGCTTGTCGCTAGGGTTAAGCGGCTTCGCCTTCTGGTCGCATGACATAGCCGGGTTTATGAGCGAGGGATTATCCGGGGATATCCCCGACGCAGCGCTTTACAAGCGGTGGGTGCAATTCGGGCTGTTGTCGTCGCATTCGCGGTTGCATGGGTCGCATACGTATCGGGTGCCGTGGCTGGTGGATGAGGAGGCGGTGGGGGTGTTGGGGAAGTTTGTGCGGTTGAAGAATATGTTGATGCCGTATGTGTATGCGCAGGCGGTGGAGTGTTGCCGGGGAGGGTTGCCGTTGGTGAGGGCGATGGTGGTGGAGTTTCCCGGGGATAGGGTTTGTCAGACGTTGGATATGCAGTATATGTTTGGGGATAGTTTGTTGGTGGCGCCGGTGTTTGATGGCGAGGGGGTGTGTGAGTATTATGTGCCGGCGGGGACGTGGATGGGGTTGTTGGATGGGAAGAAGCGGATTGGGCCGGCGTGGGTTAAGGAGACGTTTAATAGTTTTCATTTGCCGTTGTTGTTGAGGGAGGATCGGGCGTTGTTGGTGGGGACGAGTGACCGGCCGGACTATGACTGGGCGGCTAGCTTGACCAAGGTTGTCGTTGGTAGTGTTTCCGGGAAGGGAGTGATTGAGGCCCCGGTTCCTAGTGCCAACGAGCTTGGGCAGTTCTGCGGCTCTGTGAGAGTTTCTGTTGGCCCAGGAGACGACAAGTCATCCTTTAGCGTCGAGCGAGACGGGGACAGCCAGGTCCCCCAGCTCTTGGTGCTGGGAGAAGGCTCTCACCTCTGATTTTAGGCGGATATACGTGATTTGGACAGAGAATCAGTCTGCGGACGGCAAAAAGCACTACAGAATCAACCACTGCAAACCCACTGCAAATCGCACTGGGACCTAAAATCTCATACTTAAATCCAGTGGTCTTGTTACTAATAATGAGAATACAATGGCCCTGGTATTACTGTTCGCATGATTATTCGGGTGGTTTGTTTTGTGCGAAACCACCAAAAACATAATGCATCTCGATCCACAACGTGGGGGTCATTTGTAGCTCGCAAGTTGTCGTCGGAATAAACTTTGCGAAACACCAAGCCTTGGGGGCCCGTGCGCCTGTCGTCGAAACTTTAGCCATAGTACCAACCGAGACCCAGCCACCTTGTGGCACGGAACCCCACAGCTCAAAGCACGTGAACCGGACCGCCAACCCAACTTCTCCAACTACGCGTCGTGCGAGGAACGCGCCTTGAAAACCGGCAGGAGCGAAAAAACTGAAACCAAAACAAAGTGCAAACTGCAGGACTCGAAAAAGAGAGCTGTGGTCAGCCTCACTGCCCAGGGGACCCATTTCACCCTGGGGGGGGCTGACAAGGTTCACAGCTTAACCACTACACTACCCGCAGGTGTGATCATCATGATTGCTTTATTGTTGGAAACTGGTACCGCAGGCCTTCCCTATATACATTCTCTTCCGTCGTTCGTTATCAATTGGCCCACCCCCACTTTTGAATCCTTTTAACACCTGAATCGAAAACAAGATCTTAATTACTAGCCAACCCTGGATTTCCTTGCTAGTCAAAATCATCTCTGGGTTGGCGAAAAAGTAGCAATCGACGCACACGTGACGCACTTTCGCTTATAACCGCTCCAGTGACGTTGCGACCAGCCCCCCCGCAAGCCAGGAACACGGCGAGCCTCAATTTGGGCAACCAATTGCTTGGCAACCCCGAATCCTCAGCCGTCCTACCCCCGGGGATAAGCGCTCCAAGGGAAAACTACGCAGACCCGGATAAACAACCGAGATTCAATACCCGCCGACTTGACTCTCTCATGGGAGCTAGGCTCTACTCAGTGATTTCCTCGTATCCATCATCAGGGTCCGACCCACGACGCGATGGTACCCTCAAGCGACCCGAGTTTAGCTTGCGGGGGATCGGCGGTTCCCCAACTTTTGACATGCGGCAGTGGCAATGAACGCGTTATTACCCTCCAAAGACCATCAGAAATTACGCCTGTCGGGAGGCTGGCTAGCCGCTGTAAATGAGAATCCGAAGTTTTTGCGCCAGTCAGCGCGCAACCATGTAATAAAAATGACAGGGAGAGTTTGTGCAAATTTCTTCATATCTTTATCATGTTGAACACCACTGTCCGGCTTTGATGGCCTCTTTTCCTGTTGAAGCCGTCCGCATTGTAACACACGAAGGGCATTTTCATCACCGTCTCGCAAATCACGATGCGGCTCTCCTATCTCAGCGGGCTAGCTATCGCTGGCCTGGGCCGTTTCCCAGTTGCTGCTCTTGACTTCTACATCTCACCAACGGGATCAGACAACAACGACGGAAGCAGCGCCGATGCCTCTTTCGCCACGATCGAACACGCTCAAGGCGCCGTCCGCGACCAGATCTCCAGCTCCCTAACCGACAACATCACGGTGCACCTCGCCCCAGGCCTGTACCCAGTCGCCGAAACCCTCAACTTCACCGCCGAAGACTCAGGCCGCGATGGCTTCACCGTCAACTGGGACGGTCCCGGGGCCGTGGTCTCTGGCGGGATTGAAGTCACCGGATGGGAGGAGGGATCCGATGGCGTGTGGTCAGCGAGCGTGCCGAAAGGAACGGAGTCTCGTAACCTGTACGTCAACGGGCAGGCGGCCAACTTTGCCCGCCGGAAGCTGGCCAACCGGAAGGACTTTCAGTTTACCTCGTCTGGTATGACCTGGAGTAACGGGCAGTATGACTGGCTCATGGACACGGAGGGCATTGCAGGGGCCGAGGTGCGGTTTATCAATTCGTTCACGGACCGGTATGCTCTCATTCAGTCAGCGAGCAACCGGCAGTTGGCCATGAAGCAAAACACTTGGTTCAACAATATGTGGGGGTACGACACAGTGGCCCAGCCGAACGCGGACTTTGGCGTGTGGGTGCAGAACGCATTGGCCTTGATCTCGGATGGAGGACAGTTTTATCTCGACTCGGCAGCGGGCACGGTGTACTACAAGCCGCTTGATGGTGAGAACCTGACCACGGCCACGACATACCTCGGCGTGCTGGAGTGCATCGTCTCGGTCGGCGGCACCTACGACGACCCGGCGCACGACCTCACTTTCACAGGCATCAGCTTCGCCCACAGCACATGGATGAAGCCAGCAACAGTAGGCTATCCCGACCAGCAAACAGGCGCCTACATCGGGGAGAACTCGACCTACACCCCCTCCAACTTCGAATCCACCCGCCCTCACTGGTTCCAAATGCCCGGCGCCATCCAAATCAGCGCCGCAACCAACATCACCTTCTCCGGCGGCAACTACACGCAACTCGGCGGGGGCGGCATCGGCATCGGCAACGACGCCAACGCACACACCTCCGGCGTCGGCCTCGGCGCAGCCCACATCACCGTCTCCAACGCCTACTTCACCCAAATCATGGGCAACAGCATTACCGCCGGCGGCGTGCAAGCCGACGCGCACCACCCCAGCAATGCCGGAATGACCAACTCCCACCTGATCATCACCAACAACGTCTTCTACAACACCTCCTCCCTCTTCACCTCCACCGTCCCCATCCTCCTCACCTACGCCCACCACTCCACCATCTCCCACAACGACCTGCACATCACCCCCTACTCCGGCATCTGCCACGGCTACGGCTGGGGCTCCAACGACGCCGGCGGCAGCCCGGAGTACCAAAACCGTGGCCTGTACAACTTCCAACCGAAATACTCCGACCCCACCACCTCCAACACAAACCTCATCGCCGCGAACTTCATCCGCGCCTACGGCCACAGCCACACCGATCTCGGTGGGATATACACCCTATCCAAATCCCCGTCTACCTTCATCACAGAAAACTACGTCCTCGACTCGGGAGCCTACGGGCTGTACACCGACGAGGGCTCAAACTCCTACACTTTCACAGATAACCTCCTCTTCAACACCGGCACCTGGCTAGCCCAAAACGGCGCCAACACCGATAACAACACGTTTGATGGTAACTACGGCCACTCCGGCCCGACAAACTGGCCGGGTAACTCCCTCATCGATAATATCTCCCAGGCTTCCGTAGCCGTCCAACGCGCGGCGTATCGCGCGGGCGTGGAGCCTGGGAAACGTGTAAATCGGCCAGAGACATCTGAGACCGGCGCAGCGGATAGTATTGTGACTGTGACTGGGGACGGGCAGGGGGTTGTGACCGCGACGATCAGTAATTTCGATGATGCGGCTTTTGAAGGGGTGGAATTTGATGTTTCGTCTGGGTCGTCGGGGGTGACGTTTACGGCGGAAGGGGAGGTGCCAAAAGAGATACAAGGGAACGGTGATACGGTGGTGAAGTGGAAGGCGTCGGGGGGTGGTGGGAGTGTGAAGGTTAGTGTGGGGGTTAAGTATACGAATTCGAGGACCGGGGAGGTGGGGGAGAGGGGGGGGAGTGCGGATGTTAGTTTGTAGGTACCTACCTAGTGGACTGTGTAGAGGGAAGGGGGAGTAGGAAAGATATTGGAGGGGTGGCTTATTCTAGTTAATTAACGTACATACGAAAGAGCAGTTGAAGATGTTTGGACGGGTGCTAGGGTATGTGCCGTACCGATCTAGTCATCGGCCATCATCCACCACCCGATTTGCCATGAAGGTAGTTTGTGGCGTGTCGGTCGAAACAGGACAGGCGGCATGTTAGCGGCACTCCGGCTCGCCCGAGGTCCATGGAATCAGTGGTAAGAGAGGTAAGTAGACGTCAGTACTGGCTCCTCATTTCCAAAACGGCCCGTGTCTCGGAAGTGCACAAAGAGGACCAACATCAGTTGATGATCAATTGTCGTTGACGGCGTTGACGGCCGATTGATAATCCCCCCGCTGTTCTGTGTATTATGTTGTGTATTATGGTTATGTATTTCGTTACGCGTTCTGCGTAGCTCCATTCCAAAGATGTTACAGTCCGGTTACATCGATGATCAGGAGTCCCTGTCATTAAGGTAGGCTATACCCAAATAAATACAACCCGATCCTTGCCAATATTTCTGGGTATCTCTGGACCCAGCCCGTATGACCCCAGTCCATGTGAACCCAAACCCATATGGGTACAGACCCAAATAGGTACCCAAATGGGTTATGGGTTGCATTTGGGTCCTACCCATGCGGGTACCCACGGGTAATTACTTTGTAATTTCCGCGTCTAATTATTTCAACATGTGTGTTATCTACCGATGTAGATTTTCCAAGGGTGATCAATGGACAGGCATTGAGACAACCTAGGTAAGGAATAATTAAAGGGACCAACCCGGAAGGGTACATCGCAACGCCCTGGTTTTGACAGCGGAGGTAGGTGTACTGTGTATGAGTATGTACATGGGCAATCCATTTCGACGAAACAATTGACGGGTGGGCCGATCTCATCTGATCTCGTCAGTCTGAACCCCGACGCCCGGGCGCGGGACGGACCGCCAAGTGTCAGATCCCCCGATTAGAGGAACACGGACGTCAAACATGAAACCTGGGCATGCGGATGGATTCAACATGGACGTCCCATCCGGCATGAACCTGCATGCAAAGTACGGTAAGAAAACATGTGGACACAATTCACTGGCTCCTTGTTGAATACGGTTCTGTTCCTTGTACGGTTGGGCGGGCGACTTGGGGGCGAGAGAAGAACGGATGATGACAATGGCGCTTCTTTAGTTTGGGATTGTTTGGATGTCTATTTTGGTCATTATGTCAGTAGTTAGGTTAAGTAGGTTACCGAGTGGTCGGCACATGTAATCGTCTCGCGAGCTTTCTCAAAGGAAAGAAAATGCAGACGAACAAGCGGGAGACTCCTGCAATCGGGGGCCAGTTGGGCACTACATGATTAGTACTCCTAAGCGGGGTAATCTCTCCGAAGTATTGAGGCAGGGGACCAAGTTCGTAGCTGCACGCCGTATTTCGTGTTTCGTATTTGGCCCCATTCAAACCAAGTCGCGTTCAGTGTGGCGCGGTCGTAGAACCCCGGGATTGGTAAGTTTTTCTCCGGGCTTATTGTTTTGTTTTTATCCTTTGCCCCGGAGAACGGGAGTTTGCACTTGAGTTCGCCCGGGTCGGATCCGATGTCCGATGCGAGATCCGGGGTTATCTCCGGGTGGGGCCTGTCATAGGGCGGCGGTGGAGATCGGGTCAGAATGGCGGTTCGGGGCTGTTTTCGGAGAGGTATAAGAAGCGGGGGTGAGGCCGCAACGTTAACGTTAACGGTGCTTACACTCGACCTTACTTCCCGTTCACGTTAGGTACCTTGGCTCATCACAACGCTCACTATTCCATTCTGAACTTGCACCTTACCCAACCAAAGTTACCAAACCAACACCACCTACTCACAGCCCAACCACCCCCAAAAATAAAAATACAACAAAAACAGCAATCCAATGGACGCCCCCGCCCTCCTCGCCCTAGCCCAAACAGACGGCACTCTTCCCCTCCCACCCACCTCCACCCCCCTCGCCACAATCCTATCCTCCCCACCCTTCATCCACGTCCCCTTCTCCTTCAATTCCCGCGACCTTGGCCTAGTCCCCGGCTCGCCCATCCGGCCCGGCCTGTTCTTCCGCACGGCTGGATTCAGCGCGCCGAAGCCGAAGCCGAACCCGGACCCGGACCAAAACACCTCCTCAGAGGCACCCTTCACGACGTCAACACTCCGCAACGCGCTGGGCGGTCGGGTCAGGTATCTAGTCGACTTACGCACCGAAGGCGAGCGGGTGCGTCGGCCGGATCCGGACGGCGATGACGGCGATGACGGCGTGACAGCGATATGGGAGCCTACGGCAGAGGGTGCGCCGAATGCGGTGGACTTTGCACTCTTCGCCGAAGGCGACGGAGAAAAGGGGTTTGTGGAGATGTATCTCGGTGTGTTAAAATACTACGCAGCCACAATCCGGCGGGTGCTGGAAGCAGTGCGGGACGGAAAGGGAGAGGAAGGCGTGGTATTTCATTGTACAGCTGGCCGTGACCGCACAGGCGTGGTGGCCGGACTCCTGCTGAGTCTTGCCGGGGCGAGCGCTGATACAGTCGCGCTGGATTATGTGCTGTCGCGTATTGGCATTGAGCCGGCGCGGGAGATGTTGGAGGCTGCGTTGACTGGTGGTAGGCTTGGTGACGCGCCGAGTGTTGAGGCGAGGCATGCTGGGTTGAAGAATTTGTCGAATCTGAGAGTTAGGACGTGGGCGGCTTTTGTGAAGGCTCTGGAGGCTGAGCATGGCGGGTTTGAAGGGTATGTTAAGGGGGCGTTGGGGTTTTCGGATGACGATGTGAGGTTGATTCGGCGGAATTTGGTGGGGGGGAGTAGAGGATAGAAAAGGAAAGGGGTGTGATACTTCTGAGTGCTAGGTGTTGATGGTATTGGATGGGGCCGAGGTACCCTCGAGACGAAGGACTTCGAGGAGGGAACCATATCACGATCTAGCACAGCGATACAACAATAGAGAGCTCTATGATAGTAATTGGGTTCGTTCTGCATTTTAACGCTGTTGCAAGTTTTCAGGATCTCGGCTTTGGGGTATTCCCACTGTGTTGGCATGTTCTACACACTGGGCCCAGCAAGGCCACATTCACGCCCCTTCCCTCCCACCAAAGTATATATACAACATCCACCGACCTCCTGCCACCAATCCCCCCAGCAATACCCACAACTAGTTGCGTAGCGCAGTTGGCTGGCGGGGACCGGCCCAGGGGCTGCCTCACCCCTCGACAACCGATCGAGAGGCTCCAGTTCAATCCGGAGAAAAACCCATCGGGGTTTTCGTAACTAAGCACCCTTCTTCAGCCGGTGAAGAGGGTCCGCTGGTGAGCTTTTTGGCTTATTGTAACTTATTGAGTTGCTAACTTTTGCTTCGTGCTGATGATGACTCTGTATAAGTATAATAAGCTTGAGCAAGGGGGGGGGAAGAGACAGGAGATTCCAGTACCTCACAGCCTCCCTTATTACTGCGAGTATGGTTGTCCGAGCCCATTGCTAGAAATTCCGTCTCAGCTCGTTATTACGCCCTCGACGGGGCAGCCAATCATGGCTGGTCCTTGCAATCCAGCAACTCGTCAGGAAATCTTGGGCAGCAAGACGGGGTCTTCCACAGCAGGGACACACTCTGTTCTGTAGCCACCTTATCGGCGCTCTGGATTACGTATGTTTGGCCACCGCCGCCGCATTACCGTTGCTTCCGGGTAGGTAGGTGAGATCATCGAGGAGATTACGGTGGCGAGAGTACCGGTTATATTTCTTTGGACTTTTCCTTAGTTCGATCGCTCCTTGCTGACTTTGCAATCGGAGGAGTATTATCTGTACTGCGGCAATAGTTAACCACACCCGATAGAGGGGATTCACAGGGTCAGATCTGTGTGAAGAGTGATGTGCCTTCACTTATTCATTGCCTTCTCACAATGCTTCATAACCTCCCTGGCAAAATCTACGTCGAGGTTGGAGGCATCAAGCAGTGAACATGACCCAATACTGAGCGTTGAGGGAGGTTACAGAGCAGCAAAACTTTGTTCACCTATTGGATAATCAGGTATCATACATAAACCCAACCCAACGCCCCACCTTCAGTCCTAACTCACCCTCTTCCATTCCATCACCTGCACCCCTCATAGCCAACCCCCGAAGGAATATCCCCTGGCTCTGGCTCTCGCAGCATGCCACCTCGCCCACCGACTCCTGCGCCCCTCTCTTGACTCATGCCTCGCACACTCCGGTGTACCAAGCATCAGGGGGTCGACCTCATCCAGGTCAGAGTACTCCTCGCCGTCGGAATCAGAATCAGAATCAACGTCGAAAAGTACGCGGTCGTGCCTGTGGTGACGATCATGATGGTGATGGTGGTGATCATGATGATGGTGGTGATCATGATGATGACCACGTCCATAGTCCCGTCCCCCGACCCGCCTCACCGCCTCCCTGACCAAGCACGAGTACGAATGCGAATGCCCATGCAACCGTGACCACGCCAGCGGCCGACCGACGAACCCCAACCCACCCTCGACCGGTAACACCCCCAACCCCGCGGCAGCGGCAGCAGTAGCCGCAGCTGCTCCTCCTACGCCCACCATAGCACCTTTCACACCCATTGCCACTCCCCCAAGGGCCGCGCCCATCCCAGCGCCTACCCCTCCCATCGCTGCGCCAACGCCCGCTCCGACACCTGCGATAGCACCGCCCACCCCAGCACCCACGCCTGCCATGGCACCTCCCACGCTCGCTGCAACGCCGGTGCCGACCGCCCCGGCCGCCGCTGCAAGCCCGACGCCCCCAAGTACTAGTGCCGCTACCTCGGCTGGATGTACTTTGTCTGCGTCGTGCCGATGGTGTCGTCGGTCATGCACTGGGATGTTGAGAGCTTCTTCAACGTCGGGGCTGCCATGGTCGTAGACGCCGCCTTCACTGGCTGCACGGCGGTGGCGGTTGTGGCCGATGGTAATGCGCGGGGGTGCGGACGGGCCATCTAGTTGAGCCCGGTGTGAGTGAGCTGAGGTTTGGTTGTTTGTCTGAGGGTGTTGGGTGGACTCGTCGTGAGGCGAGGAGCGGTGGGTGTCTCGTCTTTGCATTGAGGTCAGGATGTTGAAGGGTGGGGTAGTGGAGCTCGTGGGAGGCGTCATGTTGTTGATGTCCGGCCTGTAGATGCACACGGCCGAGGGGACGCGAATGGGAACAGAGTTGGGGGTTGGTGAGGTTATTCGGTTTGACTTCGTGTTTCAGACAAAATTAGGGCAGGGGAGGATGAACCAAAAAGGGAGTGTATCTGGCGAGGCGGAGGAAAACCTCGAGGCCTGGCAGGGAGCGTAGTGGGTTGTGAGATGCCGACGAGTTGGTGAATAGGGAAAAATAAGGTCACCTGGTGATATTGTAGGTTATAGGTAAACAAGAGAGACCTAGGAGAACGGAAATCGAGGACAGGTATGGGTGATGCCAAGTTCACATATGTTAGGAGAACGAGAAGAAACCAGTAGAGGCTAACGCAGTTTTGGAGAATCCGTCAGCAGAACGGGCAAGTACCGAACTGTGGTCCGATTTGTAACGCGGAAGGAACAGCTGGGATGGTCACATGAACCGGTCTGGACCACGCAAGTCATTCAGCACGGATAGCCTACACCATCGCCAATAAGTCCAGTCCAAACCATTCCATTAATTTACGCCCGGCTATCCGTTGGCTTCTGCAAGAGTTGAGTCCCTGATATAACGCCATGCCGTGCATCCTGCCCTTGCACATCAACACTCCCCGCTTGCGTACCCAGCCCGACAGATCCCATACCGTACCCAAGGACGGGAACTCCAATGAATCGTTCCGGTCATGTCCCAGGCCGGGTAAATTCTTCCAACCAAACCTCAAACAACCCACACCACCAACCCTAAAGCAGCTCAAAATCATCAACCTTATCCCGATACTTCATGATATTCTGCTTGATCTTGCTCCCCACAGTCCATGTGACAAAGTCCTCCATGCTCCTCGTCACAAGGAACGCCGGGTCCCGGACCTCTTCGACGCCCACCCGGACGTGGCCCTGCTCGATCATCTTTGTCGCCGCCTGGACGGTCTCGGCCATGCGCAGTCTGTTGGAATTAGCATGGTCCCCCCCCTCGGCCTTGACATCGCTGTTATCAACAGGGAAAAATACAACAAAAACATACCGTGTCATAACCACCGGCAACCGCCGCCGCGCGAACGCGGATACTGTGACGTTGTGCTCGACTTGGGACAGCTTGGATTTGCTCTGGAGGACAGGTTAGTTAGACACCGCGCACGTCAGAGTCGTTGCCGGGCCGCATACCGAGAGGATGCCCATGTCGTAGAGCTTGTCCAGAAGCAGGACCTCATGTTTCCTCCGCACCTCGCTTTCTGGGGGGAGTAGCTGCGATGGGGTCAGTAGGCCGTTTTGCTGAAGATGTTGGTGAAACATACGCTGAGGCGGTGTGCTAATTGCCGGAGAGACTGGGTTTGTGTTAGTAAAGAACTTGTTCACAGAGGGGAACTCAAGTTGACTTACACCACATATCCTGTTGTACTTGTGCTGGTAGAGGGTCAGTCATGGGTAAAGAATGAGAATCCAGTTGGGGGCATACATAGTCCTCTGGTTTTTGAATCATGTACCGTCTGAGATGATGAGTTAGAGACGACATCAGCAATACAATTCTGGATCCTGGAATTTACCTCGCGACATCGTGGTCTCGGTGGTTGTTGTCTTGTTTGTAGTTGATGAAGTCGTGCCTGGCGCATCCATGGGTTAATCGTGAATCCGTGGTTCATCGTCCGGCGTGTCCACCCACTTCTTGAGCAGCTTCTGTTCGTGAAACTTGAGTTTCCGCGGCATTTTGGCGAGGGCGTATCCGATGACCCAAAACTAGGCAGAGTAATCAACCGTTGTCAACTGAGAAATTGGATTTGACTGTTGTTTGTTTTGAGCCAAAGATTTGATGGACCGATTGATGAATGAACGAGATGAACGAATGCCAAGTCTCGAAATTTTGCTAAGAACTGCCTGCCGCAGCCCCTGGCCCGCGGAATACCCACTTATAACTCCATTCCAGCCAATCCGACCGCACCAAAGATTTATCCCACCAAACCCCACAGGTGCCCAGATCACCAAACACCAGCATCACGAACCGATTTTTGACGACCTCACGACGACAGCAGCAGCGGGAGAGATACACGCACAACACAGCCAACATGTCGACATCCCGGCAATGGCTCTCGGCAGCCGCGCGCCAATGCCGGTCTGCCTTGACGACACAGCAACGAACACAGCTGGCGCAGCAGCCACCACTCTCGCGGGCGTTGTCGACGACACCAAGCCTCTCAGCATGTCAGTACCCCTTTGTCCCTCCTCCCAACCGAACATCCCCCTCAACCGACGACTGACACTCTCCCCCCCAAGTCCGCGACTCGCAGAACAACACGTATTCCAACACCAACACCAACCGTCTCGCCGGCAGCACCCCCACCACCTTCACGAACCCCAACGCGGCCCTCCAAGACCTGGCCTCCTCAGGCCTCAACCGCAGCGGCCCGCTAACCCCCGAAGAGCGCCGCCGCGTAATCGAAGAACAAGTCGGCACCAGCGGCCACATCCGGGACCTCGCCATCAACACGACAACCGACAACTACCTACGCCAAAACCAGCGACGGTGGCGGGTCGGCGATGTCTACACGCCGCGCGACATTGGCAAGGCGGAGATGAAGAAGTGGGGCAAGATGCGGGCGCCGCTGGAGGATGTGGTGGAGGTGTTGGGGTTTAATCCTGTGGATAATTACAAGGTACCTACCTACAATATCTCTTTTCCCTTTTCGTGGATGAGAAAGAAGGGAGGCTGACCTAGAAAAACAGAATTTCTCCCTCATCTCGGATTTCATGACCCCCATGGGGCGGATCAAGCACTCGTCTGAAACGGGGCTGCGGCCGGTCAATCAGCGGAAGATGGCCAAGGCGATCCGCCGGGCGATTGGCATGGGCTTGCACCCGAGTGTGCATCGGCACCCGGAGATTTTGCGGATTAAGCAGAGGGGGATTTCGGCTATGGTGCCTATTGCGCCGACTGAGAATCGGCTATGAGCGAGGTGTATGTAGTTGGGTTCGGAGTTGGGAATCGTAGGTGGGAGTCGTAGTTAGGACTCTGATTCGGGTGGAACGGAAGTCGGTTTCGGTGGACGAACAGACTGATGGTGGGGGTACACAGTGCTGAAAGGAAAGGAAAAGACGTGGAGGAAACGCAGCATGCTCCGACGACTGTACCAAATACACAATACACTACATGTACATTACCAACCACACGACACAAAAAAATATAACGAAAATGCGTGGACATGCCATTTTTAAGTTACCCAACCTCCAGCATCAGTCGGTATCAGTATCACCGCTCCCGCCTATGCCAATGTATAAACAATCAACCCTATCACATATACATACATCCAGTCCTCAATTTTACATGCAGCCAGCCTCCCAACCTTTCTCCCAATTCCAATCCCAACCTTCATTCTTCATTGCTTCATCACGTACACAATTCCCCATTCGACCCCCCATTTGGAACCACTCTCTCGTCCACCCACCCTGAATTTTCTCCATCCCAAACTCAACCTACGCCCTCATATCCCTCCGAATATTGAACTTCGTCCCCTGGATGGTCTGCTTGCGCCCCTTCTTCTCCAGCTGTGCCCAGATATCCGGGTACTCGGCGCGGGCCCAGGTCTCGAACTGGTCTTTGACGTTGGCCCAGGGGAGTGCGTTGTAGGGTACGCCGAGGCTATTTTATAGCGTTAGCGTGAATTCCGAAGAAGCGAATGGCCGTATGGGCTGAAAGGTTAAGGGGTAAGGATAAGGGTAAGGGGTAAAAGGGGTTGGTTAAAGGTAAGGGGTAAGGGTTGAAAGAGAGGAAGAGAGAGAAACACAGAGAGAAAGGGAAAAAATACTCACGTCATCATCCCCGGCGCACACCCCACACTCCCCTCCATGCCCCGAATCAACCTCATCACCTCCTCCACATGTCCATTCCCCGCAATCGCACCACAATACGCCCCAAACACCTCCGCCGGCACCGCCAAATCCATGCGTTGCACCTTCTGCCAAATCTCCCGTGCCACCCTATCCCCAAACGGCGATAACTCACACGCCCAAAACACAATCGCCAGACTGGCGTAGGAAGGGCCTTCGGCAGACGCGGTAATGTCCCGCCAGAACTCATGGATCGCCACATGCGGTTCATCGCACGCCGCGTAGGCCATCATGAGCGCGTTGCGCAGACGGGTGTCGAGTTGCACGGTCGTGTCCATTTTGAGCATGTTGTGGATCATTTTAAGGGAGTCGGCATGCGCACTGCCGCTGGTGCCGGTCCCGCTGGGACCGCTAGCGCCACCGGATAAGCCCATGCCAATTCCCGGACTGACACCGCTGCCGCCGGTGCCGGCCAACTCCGGGTGCCGGCCGAGACCCTCCAGGCAGCGGACGTACATGTCGGCGGTGGGACGGTGGCCGGGGCTATCGGAAGAGCGCATGTGGCCGAAGATGTAGCAGGCCATGTCTGGGCGGCGGCGGGCGAAGAAGGCGTCCATGAGGCGGGCGCGTTCGGAGGGGTCGGTGTCGGGGAAGAATTGGCGGAGGAGGGAGTAGGCGTCCCAGGCGCGGGCGGTGCTGAGGGCGTGGCGGTCGAGGCAGCAGTAGTCGACGAATGCGCGGCGGACTTGGGCGCGTTCGTCGCGGGAGTAGGAGACGGTGTGCAGGGAGAGGGTGTCGATGACTTCGAATTGGTTGTCGGAACGCAAAAAGACCATGCAGAGGGCGACGACGGTGTCGGGTTCGAGGGTGGCGTGGCGTTGTTCGAGGTCGGCGGTGATGTCGAGGATGCGGCCGAGGTCGGGTTCGGGGTGCACGGCGCAGAGGGCGCGGAGGTATTTGTTGAGCACGGGGAGGTCTTCGTCTTGGTAGACGGGGACTTCGCCTTTGAGGAGCTTGTCGTAGAGCGCGCGCACGCCGGAGAAGTCTTGGGCGTCGAGGCGGTAGTCCATTTGGAGGATGTAGGTTGATGCGCTGGGGGGGATTTGGAGCTCGGCGCCGAGGGAGAGGAAGCGCTCGGCCAGGTAGGGGTTTTGTTTTTCGATGGCGGCGGAGATGAGGGCGTTGATGGTGGCCGCGTCGGCCTTTGGTCCTCTGTCTTTGTTGTCTTGTTGTGGTGGTGGTTGTTCTTGCTGCTGCTGCCTGCTCCCTGTTGAAGACCTCTGCGCCGACATAACCTGGATCATCTGCTTGACATCCTCAACCCCCTTATCCATAGCCAACACAGCCCACTGAAACACAACATCCCAGTAGTCCTTTTGCGGATCCGAGTTGATCAGCCGCTCAAAGATGGGCTGCAGCCAGGCCTGCTCACGGTTCCGCACGGCAAACCGCACCAGCTCGAGATAAACCTTGGGGCTCGGCGCCCAACCGGCTTGAATGGGCCGTGAGAACCACCGCTTGGTCTCCTCGACCTGGTCCCGCTGCGCGTAAAAGGTTGTCATGATCTCGTGGATCGGCGGTTGGTACTCGAGTTTAGCTGCTTCGGCGTTGGCGAACTCGGCCAGCAGTTCCTCCTCGCGGCCCTCCTTGGCCAGGCCGCGCAGCACGATTGTCCAGAACGACCGCTCGCGGGCCGCCATGCCTTTGTTTCCCGACCCTTTGCTTTTCCGACTCTGCGCCTGTGTTTGTGTTTGTGTCTGTGTAGTGTCCTGCGTTGTGTCCTGAGCTATTGTTCCCTGCGCCTGTGTCGCAGTCGCATTCCTCTCCCGAAACTCAGCCAACCGCACCGCAGCCTCCCGCGCGGCGCCGTACTGCGACAGCGCCGTCAAATACAGCTCCAGGTCCAGCATCTCCTTCCCCCCCAGGGTATCCCGAATAACATCCTCTTCAACCCCAAGCCCGCGCATCTCCTGTATCCTCCGCTCAATCTCGGCGTAGACCAGCTTCGCAAGCTCGAGGTGGTGCTCGGTGGTCCCCTTGGGCGGTTTCGTCACCGTCACCCACAGCGCGGTACGCAAGTCGGCAAACCCGAGGTCTGCGGTCTGTTGGCGGTTTGTTGCGCCATTCGTTGCGCCGTTTGTGGCGTCGTCCGCATCGACAGCGAGCAGGTGTCGCAGCAAGCGCTGAATCAAAAACGCCTGGGTCGGGTTCAGCGGCTGGTGGTAGTTCTTGCGCTTGTACTGGATGAACTGGCGCCAGCCGCGAAGCAGGTCCTCGCGCGGGGGTGGACGGGCATTCTCGACCTCGACGCTGCGGAACTGCAGCAGCACGTCGTAGCCCGGCTCGAGGTCGGGCTCCTTTAGCATGCGCGGGGGTTTCTGGAAGATGCCGAAGAAGGTCCGGCGGGGCTGGCCGCGTGGAAGTGAGGTCGAGGCCGGGGGTGCGTAGGGAAGAAAAGCGGCGCGGGAGGAGACGGCATAGCAGCGGCCTGGAAGCGACGGGCAGGGCCGCAGCAGGCCGTGGCGGGCCAGCAGTCGGAGAGAACACACATTGCGCGTGAGGTGCTGTGACCGCATGGTGGGAGGAGGGGCCCGAGAAGCCTAAGAAATAGGTCGAGTGGGCGCAGCGCTAGTACCAGCGCATGCTGAGGGCGCGCGGCCGCAGGTGGGGGTCGCCAGCGGTGTTGGTTCGGGGTAGGTCGGGCTCGAGGAATCGGGGGCTGTATATTTGTGGTGCCGTGTTTCGATTCTGGTTTCTGTTCGGTGATCTCGGATTCGACAATTCAATGTTCCAACTTTTGGTGGATTTGCCTGCAGATGCACCCCACAGCGAATGAATGACCTCAATTTGCCAGAGCTCATGTGGGGTCGTCCCTGGTGTACCCTAACCCTGACATTTCTCATCCCATCTTCCATTTCCCCTTTCGGCCTCACTCATCGCTTGAACATCAACTTAAAACACCAAAACATCAACCCTCCAAAAACGACCGATATCACCACCAAAATGGCCACATCCCCACCCACGGTCCTCGCCCTCAAACAATCCTTCCTCACCACCCAAACACGCGTCCTCTCGCAACCTCTCGCTCCAACCCGCGACTGGCTCTCCAATAACAAAAACAACAACACCGACGACAACACCGACGACAACAACAATGACTCGGAAAAAACAGCACCACCCCTCCCCGAGAAAGCCATCGACGACGCCCTCTTCAAACTAAACCACCGCCTCCAGCAACACGTGAAGCGGGCGTACGCGCCCCAGGCGACGCGGCATGTGGCCGAGCAGATCGACCGGCTGTACTGGGACGCGGCCGAGCGGGCTGTCGGGGGGGGTTCCGGGGGTGAGGGGTGGGGGGAAGATGAGGTGGAGGGGGGGTGGTTGAATGTTGGTGCTGATTTGGGTGTGTTCTTCTTGCTGTTCCTTACTGTGACCTTCTTTCATACCTTTCCTTTTTCGTCCTTTTTCTCTTTTCATCGACACAGCCTATCTCATTACCCCCCCTCGCTCTCACGCCCCTCTCTCACACCCCTCTCTCACACCCCTCTTTCACTACCAACTCATAAATACATCAACGACGTACTAACAACCCAGCCAACCCCCAAATCGCCCTCACTCTCCCTCTCGAATGGGAAGACCACACCACCACCACCACCACTACCACAGACCCCTCCCCAGAAACAAAACACTACGCCGCCCTCGCCACAGACCTCCACGCCCTCGCAGACCGCAAAACCCAAGCCACCGCCCGCGTCGCCCGATTACGCAGCTTGCGCACCCTGCTTGAGCCGTTTTCTTCTTCTGCTTCTTCTAACCCTAACCCTGACTCTAACCCTGATGTGACGACCAGTGAAGGTGGACAGGACGAAGGAAATGGCCTCGGCAGCGTACAGGAGAACCTAGTCACGCGGAATGGAGAGGTGGAGGCGGAGTTGCAGCGGATGAGGATGTTATTGGCGAGGGTGGGGGGACGGGTTGGGTTGTTGCAGGAGCAGAATGCTGATCAAAGTCGAGATGAAAGGGGGGAGAAGGTAGGGGATGTTGAGGGGGAGGAGAGGAGGAAGGTGAGGGCTTTGTTGGATGGGTTGTGATGGACTTACGTAGTGTGGTGTGAAGAATAGAGGCCGGGATGGAATGTATAAGGGTGATGTGAAGGGGTAAGTTTTCTGTTGTTAACTTTCTCATGGCTAAGTTAACTTATCTCAGGCCAAGCACAAGGTTGTAGGTCATAAATGCCAACGCCGAATATACTGCACACGCTGTTGCTAATCCTATGATACCCAACATTCTAACCTGATCTGCAATTCCACTCACTTACACCGGATACGATACCTACACCGGCACACCAACAGCATCCCTCGCACTATCATCCACATCCAACACCTGCGTCTCATCCGCCTCCAGCTCCTCCCCCTCCCCCTTCTTCTCTCCCTTCCCATCCTTCTTCACCTTTGCCTCGTCCTCCTCATCATCAATCACCCACCGATTCGGCCTCACCACCCTCAACACCACCTCTTCCTCTTCCTCTCCCAGTTTCTCCCCCTCCTGTTTCTCCTCGCCCTCCACCCCCTTATAATAAACCCTCAACCCAACCACCGCAACCGCATTCCACGCCTCTGCCTCCCTCCTCCCACTCCCCGATCCACCACCACCTCCTCCCCCATTTCCACCCTCCCCACCACCCCCCTGACCAACACCATCCCCATCACCCCCCTCTCCATACCCCGGCCCAAAAACCAACACCGCATCATTCCCCCTCGCACCCTTCCCACCCCCACGGCGGTCACCCCCTCCAAACAGCGGTCCCGGCCGACCTCCTGCAGCACTACCATTAATAGCCCTCTCCTCCCGCTCAATAGCCTGTAAATGATACTCCAATTCGGTATCTGAGACCGGCGAGTCCGGGCGGACGGGGCAGAGGAGGGGGTTTTGCAGGTCGGTGGGGGTCCAGGCGTCGTCGGAGTCGGATTCTTCTTCGTCTCTGGGATTGCCCTCGCGGGAGGAGCCGGGCGGGAAGTTGGGGGGGAAGTTCGGGGG